AATAAGATATATTTATCAAAGAGATCTTGGTACCAAAAGGGTTAATGTGATCACTTGACATGCACAATACAACCTTTGCGGGAACACAGCATAGGCTGTCCATCAAGAAAGAAAGCTGAACATAAATTTTTAGCAGCAACATAGATGATTCTCCAAATTTTCTCTACTACCCTATTTTCTTGTGGAGAACAGGGCTACAAACATTCCCTAGCTTATACTAAAAAGGTAATGAAAACTTACTTACTTTATTGTTAAGGTAACAGCCAGAAGTTGGAAAACAAGAAAAGGATATGAAAAGCTTTCTCGTAGGGGTGGTGTCCACATAACTCTGGTGCACTGATTGAAAAAAATATAAATATATATTTATTTATTAATAATAAATTAGCAACATGCCTTTTTCTTGAATTTAATAGGAGTGATAATCCTCAAACATATATAAGACGTACATTGAACATTATGTAGCTTTACTTAGTTTGAAACAAATTTATTCTGTGCAGCTCCTTATCCACATTTATTTCATATCAAAGGCTGTCTAATAGGCACCTTCATAAAGGTTAAGAATTGGTTAAGTTTCAACTCAGTTCTAACCCTTTAACACCCAAGACCCAATCAGTTGTTCTCCCAAATGTATATCATATTAGACTATGAACAACTATGACAAGCCTTCTGCATACAGGGCTCAAATTTAATTTTTGGAAAACTAACCCATCGGGTTAGTAGACATCTTTTTTACTAACCAAATTATAAAGTTTGGTATCCAAGCTCACAGGTTACCATATCTCAAATATTCAACATTTTGATAATAACGACTAGGACAAATTAAAGAGTAGCTGAAATTGCATGGTGACCTTAATAACGTTGACAATTAATTGTATGCACTTTTATTTCCCTCTCGTTTACCATGATTAGTCAAGAACAGTACATCTACAGCACATTCTCTAAAAAGAGTTTAAGTTGATTTAACAACTCAGTTGAGTATTTTAAGCATTCCTCTGAGAGTCAGGTCTAAGTGCTCTTTGTCCCGAAGTCTACCAATGTTTAAATATGTTAGAAAATTTTACTAACCATGTCGGGTTAGCTTGACACATTTTTAGTAACCAAACGTTGAAAATTACTAACCATTGGTTAACGGGTTACCGTTAATTTCGAGCCCTGGCATAAGCAGACCTCTGGCCCGTAGGAATCGACAATGTCAAAAGCATTGTGTGAATTAAAAAGTAAAAGAAAGATTGCAGAAAAGTTTGAGCTTGGCTGTCAAATACACGTAGATTTTGTTCTTATAAATTGTCTCCTTTCCATACTCACTTCACCATGATTATACAGGTATGACAACGTGCCTATAAGTCCACCGAGGATACTGCCACTAGGAAAAAAAAATTGAGGATTTCAGTTGACAACATTGTTTTTCCATTGTGTGCCATGAAACCCACCATAATGCAGAAAGTAAGGAGATAACTTTTAGTCAGAGCAAACAAAAATAACGGAGAAAATCAGAAAAACCTCCTCATAAATACAATGGGCCATTTTCGATATATATTAAAATTCTAACATGGATCAGAGGCTTGAGGGTATAAAACAAAATAAATTAATTATTCATCCCTCAACCTCGATGTGATTTCTTGTTTTATTTCCCCAGGCCTTGGGGCCAAGTTTGAATTTTGATGTATTGAAAATGACCTATTGTATTTAATATGTGGAGGTTAATTTCTGAATCACTCTAACTCTTACTAATACCTTTAATTTGAGTAACCAAGTTAAGATGCATTTTGAATTAGCAACAGATGGTTTACTTAATAATATATAAATAAGTAAGCAGCATGAGTTTAATGAACCAATTACAAGGCAGAGTAGTTAAAAGCAAATCTAAATAATTTTAGAAAGATAAATTGCATTCATTGCAATCCTGCATCAGAGCCGACTCAAACCGATAAGAATCCCAAGCTTGATTGTTGTCAACTTGGAGGTACTAAATACCCAGCTATATGAACAAAAAGAATTGCAACTTATAAATTAAAATAAAGAGGACTTATACCAGACCTATAGTGTCCTCTAAAATTAAACACTAGTAATGCTACAGTTACTGTAGCAATTGACTCTTTAACCAATTTTAAATATCTGCATCTAAGTTCTGTGGTTTCATTTCAATTTTAGATATGTAGACCTAAATTATGGAGAACAAATAGTAAAAGGCTAACTACAAATGAACATTTCGTGAGAATCATATCAAGTCATGGCAACACAAAAATATTTACCTGAGAAAAAAGCAGAGCAAGAAAAACATGGATATCATGAGTCCGCTTAAATAGAAGATGGCATAAACATAGAAGAACGACAGTTCCCCCATACCTAACGAAAAAGTAAATTTAAATTATCTAAAGTTATTAATTTTCAACTATGAGAAATTTCACTTTGCACAGCTACAACAGTGGGCTGCATTTTATCAATTCCGTCCTTTGGAAGTAGAGAAATCACATAAAAAGGGGAAGAAACACTTTATTTAATGGGGAGATACCAGTAAGTACTTAAATAAAAAATTGACACTCAAGTAAAGGTTACAGTACTTAGCTTTGCTATTTTGCAGATAAGGATTGTTATATTGTGCTAAAAATAATTAAAATGAATTTTGTTTTGAAATTTTTTTGTTTATAAATAAACCCTCTCCAGTGCATATTAAACCTCAGTCAACACATGGTGGCCAAAATTCTGAGTAAACAAAATCCTCAATTTGAAAGTGATTTCTTCAAACTGTATATAATGTTAACCCTTTACACCTTAACATCAGTATGCATATTCTCCATAACTTTCACTACACATTTTCTAAAGTGCTCACAAGGAGAATTTGCATAACAACCAAGAGCTTCTTTAGATGGTGACCATTTCCTTAATTCTCATGATCTTATATTTGAATTAGGGTGACTTGTTGGGAGAAATACACTTCTTGATCAAATCACTCTTAGAGGTTAAAGAATCATCAGTTTTGCTGAAAGTGGGTGATATTAACCTCACTGCTTCGCTTCTATGGATCATGTAGTTTCTGACATTTGAGTGACATGGGAACGAATCAGTCAGAAATTAATATTGTCAACAGAGCTTGTCTGAAAAAGATACTACCAAAAATAATATTACATTTGGGGAGATCATTCAGAATATTGTCTGGAGTGCATTCCTTACCTTCACAGCTTTGTACAGGAGGTTGGTTGTAACCTCTGTTAACAGTATAGCATGTCTTGGTGTGAATATTAAAACTTGTGGTGAACGAGTCATACATGCGAAAAGCAAATCCTAACACAACCTGTAAGCAAAAGGAACTAAGTTTTTATGTTAAGGCTTTTCCTTACCAATAATGAACAACAAAAGGGTTGAGACATATAATACCATAGCTCTCTGTGTTGTGGTCTGGCCTTGTAATTGTTTATACAGTTCCCCATTTAAACCAGCTTTGAGCTGAACTGGGCCAGCCTGTCTAAATATCACAAATACATAATTAAATCTATAGAGGAATGATCTTTGCAAGTGAGCTGCAAATTGAGCAATTGCACGAAAAAAAAAAAAAATTCAGGTTTGGACAGGATTCAAACCTGCCTCTCAAGGGGTAATAGTTGAGCAATACTACCATCTGAGCTACCAAGCTACCTGTTGGAAGCAGGACACATTTTCACAAGTACTCTTTATCTCTCAGTTTAATTAAAGTTTATTTCATCTTGTACATAATTGTTTCAACCATGCATTAGTTAAAGGTGAGTCAGCTTGAATTTTCCCAAGGTGTCAGAAACAGATCAACCCAAATTAAAACTGGCATTAGATCAGTTTGCAACGCACATGTGGGAGAATCAAGCTCCAGGCAGAAAAGCTTGCTGGTATACATGTACCATCAGTTTTTTTAGAGTGTTGCATCATAATAGACCACTTTCATAAATAGCTGCTGGATTAAAATTCTTCTGTTTAAATTTAAATTAGCCCTACTGGCCTCGTTCTCCAGTACAAAATTCAAAAGAATTCACTATCTCAAGCAAGGCCAGAAGGGCTAATTTAAATTGAAACAAAAGAATATTTATACGGCAGCCATTTATAAAAGTGGTCTATAAGAGTTCACTCTATAGCTAGAAGTCTTTTTAAGACACTGGTCATTAACCAAATTCCTTTTACTCACCTCTGGATATAAATTCAACCTTTTCAGAGTGTTGATGGTATCTGGATATTCTGTTACATTGCAATTCATAACAGAATGAACTCCATCAAGGAAGGTTGGGGCTTCCACAATAGTTTTATAATACGAATAGTACAGGCCCTATTTGGATAAAACATACCATTCAATAATATGTATTTTCTATAATTATTAAAAGGCTGTCAAATTATTTAGGTACATTACAATGAATTTCATAAGATTACTTAAGATAAATAAATTTCCTTTTTCTGAAAGGTTAAAAGCAACTACCTGTAAACAGTTTACTAATTTGGTTGCAATCATTGCCATTTCAGGGGTGGACCCTAAACATTAATCCAGAACAGACAGTTCTTTTTTCATTGTACCCTATGAATTAGCAACAAATAAATATTTCATGGCAAGTGAATTTTTAATACTTAATACTAAGCAGTAAAATATGATCCTTTTTTTTGGAAGAATCTTTTGGTGACAAACAATTAAAACCGTCAGAAATGATGCATAGGGGAAAGGGATCTTAACCCCCAGACCCTCCCCCTGGATCTCCCACTGCATGTAAACATATTACTTCAAATACATGCTATTTACTTGAAGAATTCACCAGCTAAATTTCAAGGAGTCCTTGATAGCCCAACTATAAAATATTCACATAACTATATTTTATCAATCATTCGATTCTTTCCCGTCTACATGAAAGCCTACTCGCATGCAGGTATCTTCAAAAGAAAGATAAAGAGCTCACCATCTCCGTCCTAAACGACAATTCTCTCTCCAACGCTGACAAATGCGAGAAAAATCGCTCGTTTTCAAACATTCTTGATACATGGTAGCTGTAAGAACAACAGTACATCACCAGATGGGCGCAAATGTTTATAGTCATTGTTAGAGGTTCTAATTGCGATTTTATTGTTCAGGGTACCCTTTTGTTTTAAAATTTTAATTCTAGTCTACCAGACGATATCGATAAAAAAAAAATGCAGTAATTTCAAAAACTAACTTTACCTTTGGAATATCCCAAAACTTGCAGCTATAGAAAAGAGTCAGAAATTTTCAAGTCAGTGTTACCTGAGAAATAAATGTCGATCACAAAACTAGATGGTTCAGAAATTCTGAAGCCTCAGTAAACTCACGTGTAAGAAAAGCTGATATAAGATAAATAGAAAAATCTTAAGCACATGAGATACTTACCGATTATCAGTACTAATGAAGCATAACCGATCCCATGTTTCGTAAATGGAACAAGTGACGGTGAAGAATCTTTCGCGCTCTCGTCCTTTTGTTTTGACTTCATTTTGAAACGCCCGGGAGTTTTGGGTTGTGCTGTGCTTCCAGAGCCAGATTTCTGGGTCTGTTGACCAGAAGCTTGTTTTTTCTTCTTCGAAGTCATGCTGAAAAAATATTAAATCGTACACAAAGAACTAAAAATAATTTGGAGAAGCGCAATATTGAATTTTTCGTGATTTTGGCGTTACTTGGTCTTTTGTCGTCTCGCGCTCGTCTTCTGCAACGTGTACCAGTCAGCAGTGATCACATAATCTTTCCCTATGTGGTGTAGGTATTATAATTGTGATGCTATCTAGCAAAATGGCGGATGACTCGAACAGAGTGTCCATGGTGAAGAAACATCACGAGCAGGCAAATTTAAATTATAATCGGCCAAAGTATCGAGAAGCTCGTTGGGAAAGAGCAGTCAAGGTATGTGATTGTGATTGTGTTTTAGTCTCTGACTTAGATGAAAGTTTTCATGATGATTAACTTGGACAAAAAAAAAAGCCTTACTGGCCTCGAAAATGGCTGCATCCTCGGTGAGGGAACCGACTGCGCTGTTCACAAAGACAGCAAAGAAATGAACACATTAAGTCCTAGGAAAACAGCATTTTCAAAACGAGAAATTCCTTCCCAGGTCTTACAAAATTTCGATCGTCACCAGTTTAAGGACTTTGAGAGGCAAACTTAATATTTCCAGATCAGAAAGCTAGAAGTGGTATGTAAATGTCATTACCATTTCAAGGAGCATCTGAGTGTGATTTACCGTGAATAATTATCATTAGGATTGCTTTGTTTTTCTCGTTTATTTTTTAACCAGTGAATCTCGGTGTTGTGACAGTGGTTTATTGAATATGAAAAAGAAGAACCGTGGAACTATAGAACTGTAGGAGCAGTACCTTAATAAAATGGCTGCATATGAACATGTTTACTGTGCAAACTAGATGTGGATTGACTATAAGTGAATGAATTTGGATCACTTTTGTTGAAGATCATGTCATTCTTACCTGGACTTGTTACATTTTCAAGGTTTACACCATAAATCTGGAGTCAAAGTATGTCCTGATCCAGGGGATTCCTGCTGTGGGTGCATCGAAGGAGCTCTTGGAACTCTTTGCCCTTTATGGTGCTATTAATGAGTAAGCTTAGCTGATGTTTGGGTAGACAGTTCAGTCTTAAACACTGAGTTCATAATGTAAACCGGCCTTCTTCAAGAGTTTCCAACGCAAAATGTTTTGAGTGATAAATTTGTCAAAATATCTGCTCTTTTGTGAAATGGAGGTATTTTCTAGGTGTCTGTTTGATCTATTTTTAAAAAGTAGGTAAAAGTATAAAATTGATGTAATATAAATATGTGTATTAACAGTTCTTGACATGATTTATCTAAATATAAGGCTGTGCTCTAAGGAAAGTTGAAACTGTGAAATGCAGGGTGCCCATTGTATTCTTTTTATGAAAAAACCAAGATTCCTGAGTTGCCCAAGAGCAAAAGTAAGGCACCAGGGGTCACCTGACACTGCTAGAGAACAGCCCTGAAATAAATCACTGAGTTTGAAATGGTTGCATCGATTTATCATCTTACCACTTAATAAATTTCTTCAAAAACTTGAAGTTTGACAGTATGTTTCTTGCTGAATATTTAAGGTATCGCATCTTAGATGACTACCCATCAGAACCTTTCACTGAAGTTTACTGGATCAAGTTTCAAAGAATCAATTCAGCAAGGTACCGAAAAATATACACTACCTTTAAAATTTTTTTTAATGGTTCATTCCTCGTGGAAAACAGCCCAATTAAATCTTACATTCAGTGCTTTACATTTATAAAACAGTAATTAAGAGTAATTTTAGTCTGGACCCTGCATATTTTTTTAACTTCTCTAGGTTGTTATTATTTCCAAAATAAGCTGCTTTTTATGGGCTTAGGATTATTTCCGATTATTGTTTTACTCACAAGGACCCTTTAGATGATCAGCACACAAAGCAAAAGAAATTCATAATCCAAATACTCGGCAAACAAAGTTCAAGTTAAACAATTTGTTTCATAGGGAGCATTTAACAAATGCAGACCAAATGTAAGAACCACTGGGAAAGATTACAACTTTTGGGATCAGTCATTCTGTGGTTATTTTTATTTGTCTTACTTGACAATGCATGTGGAACACTTCACAAAATTTCAATAAAAGTTTTGTTTCAGGTAATAGCTGAACATCATTTTTCATCAGAATCTAACAGCTTCTGAAAGCTAAAAGTTTAGGGACTCAGCCTATGTCTGGGATCAGCTTGTAGGCAAATAAAAAAACAGTAATTTACTAATCAAGTTCCAAAACTATTCCAAAAATTTTATCAATGATGATATCAGAATACTAGTAATTTCTCCTAATTTATTTTCCACAATTATCATAATTGTTTTCCCCTCTTAGAAGTGCAAAAAAGAAGTTGGACAACAGGTCATTTTTTGGAGGCATTTTGCATGTGTGTTATGCACCAGAGTTTGAAACAGTTGATGATACAAGGGAAAAGTTCCAAGAAAGAAGAAAAATCATGGCCAAAAAGACAAGAGGTGTATATGATTTAAAGAAATAATGGGAGTACATTGATTTGTTAAGAAGAACTTTTAATATAGGTGCTCTAATTTTATATGAGAAATAGGTTTTTGTCACTCTGTTTGAACAGTCAGTGTTAACCCTTTACACGGTAACATCAGTATGCACATTCTCCGTACTCTTTTCTATACATTACCTTTGTTACTGACAAGGAGAAGTTATTGACAGATTTTTTTCCTAAAAGTATGTAACTTTCTCTACCTTTGTTTACAATAACCAGACCAGTACTCCAGATGATCACCCACTGATGAATTAAGATAAGGAAATTTTGAAAAAATCCCTCAAACAACAAGATGGCTTGTCTACTACCGGTATTTTTTTCCTGTCCTCTCTTTATTGTGCAGTACATGTGTTTGTAGGTACTTATGCAAATTGTTTATCTTTACAGAATTGTTTGGTGCACAAGAGAAAACATACAAAACAAAAGTTGCACCCATTGCTGACTCCTCAACCAAGAGTTCCCAAGAGGATTCCAGGGAAGCAATCTTGGTTTCATCCTCAGCAGAAACTACTGCTTCTAGTACAAACTCCTCTGATCCAGTGAGAGGCTTATCACATGGAATAAATTACTCAATGTACACAATGCCAAGTTCCACATTCAATTACCCAACCCTTCCACCACCCCCTCAGCATGTTCATCCATACCAATATCCCCCTCCTCCACCCCCATGGGAGTTACCCCGAGTACCATCAGCACATGCAACACTTCCAGCCTACTTACAAAGTTTTACCCCTCCTCCCCCTCCCCCAATCCCACCACCTCCACCCCCACCTTCTTCTCCTCCTAAATTCCATTCTGTAGAATCACCCACTTCTCAAGAGGCAAGTGCAAACAAAAGTGAGGTTCCAAGACAAGAAAAGGGCTTTCCTGTTTATATGTCAAAAGTTATGATTGGACCACAACATGAAGAGGGGTGAGTTTATATTCACTATTAGATATGCTTTAATTATCGTGCACATACCATCTCTTTCCTGTGAAGACTTCAATCGGGAAATGAAAAGAATAACACTCATACTCCCAATTTTTAGGTTACTTATGCCGTTTTTCTATCCACACAAACCTTAAACAGCCATAGATAGAATGGCTGTAGTCCCTTTTACTTTAAATTCTTACAGTTATTGTCAAGTTTTACCAAAAACCCAAATACATGAAATTTTCACAAGACCTCTGATGGAAGTAGTCTAAAACCTTTAAAAAGAGTCCATGGAAATCACATCATGAGAGTATCTGAGCTCAAGCTCAGACAAGCAGATGTTTCAAAACAGAACTATCAAATGATCGAGGCTGAGGCTGGGATTCTTGTGGCTTTTATTTGTATTTGATGACATTATAATTAATCACAGGTGTCTTCAATTGCATTTCAGGTCTTATTCGATCTCAACCATGTCTTCCCTGGTGAATATTGTACTAATTACACTATTTGATGAAGAAAATTAATATCTTGATTAGTTAATTAATTTTCAGGACACAAACTCCACAAAGATCAATGATAAGAATGTAATTGTGTTCTATGGAAAAAGAGAATCAGTTATGAGAAAACTGTATGGCAAACATCAATGGGAAATTGTTTGAGGTTCTTGGTTTCCTTGTATTTTCCAATATTAATTTCTCAGACCAGTTAGAATCAAATCATAGTGTTCATGCTGAGAAAACTGGGTGGTGATTTTATGGTAGTCCATATTTCAGTGGCTACATATTTGAGTGTGTCTGGGTACAATTTGAAAGGTTTAAATTTTCAGCAGAATGGGAATTTTTTTAAAAAGTAATTGGTATCTACGTGTAAATACACTTCTCACCTCACATGCAGGAAAACTAAATTTAAACTTCTTTTCATACTTAAGACAATTAGCAACCTTATTATTGCATGATTAATTGATACATGATGGATTTTACCCACATGTTAGGGTTAATACTTTACCTTGCCCAGTGGTGTGGCATTTAACATTTTCAATCCCAAGATGTTATTTAGTAATTCTCCTTACACTTTGCCATACAGTTCTCATGATGTTGGTTTGGAGAATTTGCTATTGGATCAAGTAATAATCCCCTGATTGAAAGAATTGGAGAAATTCTGTCTTGGTCACTCCTGGGAGAGTAATTCAAAATCTTGATATCACAATCAATACCCTCTAAATCAATCAGTGAATGAGCGAGGGAAGTTTTTCCTACAGTTGTGTCCAAGAAAATGTTTCTTCAAATATTCCTTTCAGTAATTACCTCTTATGTGTCGATACATTGTCAGATTTAAAGATAATGAGAATTAAATCCTTTCAATCAGGTGTGATATCTTTATATAAGTGCATAACCCCAAATTCTCCCAACTGATAAGTAGCTGGTTACTAGAAATGTAAAGCATCTGCGAGGGAGAATTTGCTTATTACATCTCTCTTGCTCTGTTTTCTAGACTGGTGATGACTCACTTGACAAAACGGCCTACACTATTAGGAATAAATTTCAAAAGGTATAATTCATGCATACAAAGATTGTTGATGATCTTTGATATCTAATCTATCATATAATAGTAATATGATATAATACAGGGTTCCTGCACTCCTTGAAAGTCGTTGAATTTAATTTTTTTGTTTTCAAGGACTTGAAAACATTTGAATTTGGACTCAGGTCCTTGAAAATTTCTGAAAAGTCCTCGAAAATAAGTGCAGGTGAATCAAAGTCGAAGTTTTCTTTTGTTTTCGGTGTTGATAGTGTAAGTTTCTAGCACAAATTGTGAAAACAAGTTTTCCTTTCAAATCCCGTGTCCCATTATGAAGTTTGACACATGATTTTTAGATTTTTTTTGTACCTGATTGGTGCAGTGAAAATAACCGGTGATCACTCTAATGTGAATGCTTGAAGTCGTGCTCATTGGACCTTTTCGCCAGTCCTGTATGTAAAGATTTTTATTTCTATTAGACCTATTTAATGGAAAAAAGGTCCTTGAAAATGACCGAAAAATCCTTGAAAGTCCTTGAATTGGGTTCCTGGAAAAGTGCAAGAACCTTGATAATAAGGCATTATGGTAGAGAGCACTCTCATTGGCTGATAAGCATATTTAGATGAGATAACTATGTAAATGTGATTGTGACAGTTCAATTTCTGTGTTTCCCAGAAAAAAATTTTAAAAGGCAATAGATTTTTTTTCTGTGTTTTCATATTGTCATCTGAATGCTTGGGGCTTGGGAGGATTCTCAAAAGTTGTGCAAGCCCTTTACTGTGCTTCTGTTTGCACACATAACGTAGCTCCATTTTCTGCCTTTAAAAGCACACACAACCCACAATTCCTCTATTCGCTCCGACGAAGGGCTAATGCTCGAAATGTCAGCTTTTGTAATTGTTACGGTGGCCAATTTACCATTTCAACTCTGTTGATATATCCAAATTATTCTGTTTGTATAGTTTTCTTAAATCCTCCCAACCCCTCTATAGACAAAGCAAGTCTTCTATTGCTTGAGTGTAATATGATTCACAGTGTTGTAACTTGAAGTTGTAATGATTAATTTGCAGTGATATATGCAGTCATATGGGTGTATACTGTTAAGCTTGCATATCACTCAACATAATCATACCAAGCTGTCGTTTCTCTCTCTTTGCAGCTATCAGGAGCATGTCAGAGTACCAATAATATTTCATCTTTATCAGAACAAAATGTGCAGCTTCATATTATTCAGGTAACAAGAACATTGAAGCTCAACTTTGTCTTCTAAAGTGATTACTTGTTACAATTTTGTCACACTGTCAATAATGAGAATTAATAACAAAAGGATACCATTGTTGGAATCTATCAACAAATTCTCTGGACTAGCGAGGAAAGAAATTTATAGACATCCGTCAAGAGAATTTGGTTTTAGATCTCAGAAAGGTATCAGTAAATCAGAATAGAGCAGTTCTCTTTAAGCCTTGTGATCGCAAGTCAAATCTCCCAGTCGGTTGATTATTTCTCACCCCAAAGTGTTAAAATTATAGTAAGAATAATTACTGATTAAAACATGTAATGCATGTGTTTTCCATCCACAGAATCCTAATGAATCTACTCCATCATCTGTTTCAAAAAAGAAAAGGAAAAGAATTTGAAATGCTCAGAATGAATACTTTGAATCCATTTAGTTACTTATCAAGACAACAGTCATCAAACCCACTGCAAACATACCAGTAATTATTATATACCCCCAAAAAAAAAATACAAAATGAAATGAACAAGGTGAAAGGCTCATGTCATATGAAGAAAGATGGATATTAAATCAGTGACAACAGTCCATATCATTGTTTTTCTGTGCTTGACTTACAATTCCAGCTTTTGACACTTCTTTTCACACAATAAAAATTTAATCTCTGTATAGTCCCATTATTTTAATATATTTTGTCAGCAGTCTGTCTTGTAGTTCTTTGGATTCAAGCTCTGAGAATTATGTTCAACCAACCAACATCCCGCAACTGACACTTTTTGGCTCATTACTTTTTTTTTGGAATGTTTTCTTTTCAATGGAACATCAGACATGCTGCTCACTAAACCTGCTGCTCAGTCTTATTGGGGCTGGTGAACAACCATTTCTTTAATTGAATGGTAGGGGGAGTGGTCAGGAGAAATTTCTGTTGCACTATCCCCATCACTTTGCTTTGCTGTGATCATTGCTTACTCCCTTGATACAAATTTCTCCTCCCAAACCTTCCACTCCTACAAGAGTCAAAAGATGGCGGTGTAATTTTCACCAAGAAATTACCAGGCACTTACCAAAATAACACTTGTTCTGCAGGTTGACTACCCATATCAATGGTAAACTGAAAATAAGGTGCATTCTGTACATTCTTGGGGCATTTTTACCCAAACCAATTTAGATGCTGGGTCTCATTTCTTGTTCTGCAGAATAGTGCAGTTGCTTAGAAAAGTCAACATTAGTTTTTTTTCCAAGTTGATAACCAGTCAACCATAAAACTGCAGAGGATAAGGTGAAGAGCAAATTATGAATTGAAAGTCAAGATCAGTTTTCAATTTGGAGACACTTTCATTCCCAACATCGGTCTTTACCAAAGACAAAATTACATATTAATATTGATCACAAAGTAATTATTTAAATCAGGAAGAAATAAAAGAAACAGCATTTGATAACCAACAACATTGAACAATCTTTATCAAGTACTTGGTTTTGCTTCTGTACAATGAAAACTGAAAAAGCAACTGAACCTCACTGTTCGATTGTAATCAAATGTTATCATAGTCAGTGGAAAATATTTATTTTTATCTTACTTCAATAGCTAGCTTCTACAGATACAAAAGCACATTGGCATAAGTTTGAACTTTATAATACAGAATGATACAACTCAAAAATGGTTTTGCAACCAAGATAAACTACCTGTCATTCCAAAAATGTTTCAGGTTTTCAAAATGAAAACTTCCAGTAACCTCTTGGGAATCCATGGTAAGACTACAGTGTGAGTTGATCTCACTTTTATTTTTAGTTTGACTTAAAAATAGAACTATTGGCAAAAGTGATTAATCATCTCTGGGGCATGTCTTAAATAACTGTTTCAGATTTATTAAGGGTAGTGCAGTATATAATTACACTGCTAAAAAAAAAAAATTATGACAGTGAGGCATATCCAACTGGTTTGCCTCTGGCCTGTGGAGATCTTTAAACCCCATGTTTATTTGTTATGTTTATTTACAATTTGTTTGTATTGGCCCTGAAAACCCCCATCAAGGGAGTGGTCAATTAAGCCTGTATAATCAAGTGAACCCATGCCTCTGGGAGTGTTCCTAGTTGATTGCTCTGTCAACTAAGTCATAAAGTTGGACACCAAGAGCAGGACAAGAAACATTCCATCAGTTGCAATCACAACCTGTTCAAAACATGATTAATTTCATTTGCTGCTAACACATTCCTGTGCAAGAAGCGAAAATCCCACTGAAAATTTCCTAGCTTATCACACACAAATTCATAGCTCATCAGTTTGACTGGCCAACAAAATATATAGAGGCACAGGTTTGTACTCTGTAAAATCCTGACTTTTTTTAGGCTTCTTCAACTGTGAGGATGACTCCCTTATTGGTAGTTATGGAGGATTGCTACAGATAAGGAGTTTCTGGAAATTTGTAGAAGGTTGATTAGTTGAGCTAACTGAATTACTGGGGCAATCTCATGCAATGCTCTGGAAATTTCTACTAAGTGTTGCAAAGGTCCACAAAATATGGAAAACAGTTATTTTGTAACCTTCAAGAACACTCTAAATTACCTAATAAATGTACATAAATTATCATTCACCTATCAGAGTTAATTGTTATTGACTGTAAAGACTGCTAAGTGATAAAAGAAGCTAATTGAGAAGGCCATTGTAGTCTTCTATGGATGCTTTCCCACATTAATTCATACACACATAAATGTATTTCACTCACTCCCTGAAAAAGTCTTTTTAGTAGCAATATTGAAATATCAAATGCAAATTCTAAATAACAAAAAACTTTATTACATCCATTCTGAAATCACTGGTGGTCTCTGTAATCTAAATGGCTCTAATTGGTGTGATTTATTCACGAATCACACCATTTTTTGCTCTACATCGCATCATTTTAGGCTTGACTGAGTCTTTCTGTTTTGCATACAAAATAAGATGTAAAAGCATTTCCGGTTCCACTTATTATTTAAAAACTGGCTCATTACTACATCAGTAAAATACTTGAATTGACCAAGTCCTGTATTTGGGCGATTTCAAAATGGATGTAATAAAGTGGTAATTGAACTTTGTGTCGTGCAATTTTGGTCTGAAATCATACTTGTGATTTCAAATCGAACTCGCACTGCGCGCTCGTTCGATTTTGAAATCACGCATATGATTTTAGCCCAAATTGCACTCCACTCAGTTCAATTACCATTATT